GTATTGATATAAAAAATATAGGAATCTTCGAAAGAAATAATCAATTTCAAAAAAGTAATTCTATACAAAGAAGCGTGGATCACGAAAAGAAGCATTTTTCTGACACAAAAAGAAAGGAATGAAAAGCCTTCTCGAAATAACTACTTGCATATAAACATTGAATTACACGAAAGAAAAATACTTCCGAAACAAATACATCTATATGAACACTGAATTGTACAAAAACACTTTTTTCTGTTCAGTTTGTATTCCACAGATTCGTTATGAAATTGAATCAGATATCATTAATAGGATTCCTACACAATATATTGAATGAATGTGAATGATATCTGTTTCAATTCCATATTGAATGTGTGGAATACGAACTGAATAGGGGAAAGTGTTTTTGTATAATTCAATGTTTATATGAAAGTAGCTATTTCGAAAAGTCTTTTTCTTCCAGTTTGTGTCTGCATGATCTGGACGTCTTTGTATAGAATTACTTTTTTGAAATTGATTGTTTCCTTCCTTTCTTTGGAATATTTCCACATTTTTTATATCAAGATAGAAATAGAGAGCCAAAACAGTTCTTTCCCAAAAAATCAACGCCTCCTAAAAATTTGAATCATAGGCATCTCACCCACATGAGTAGATGAGTAAAGAGCTCATTCAGATAATACATTATAGTAATATTTTCACTGCACCATTTACAAAACACATGTTGCACTTGAAAGCGCTTGAGAAAGTTATTCTGCCGTACAAAAAAAGAATGAAGTGAAGTATCTCTAAATTTAGAGGTTTTGACGATTTGACGATTTGTTTATTCCAAAATGGTTTTTCAAGCATTACTTCTTTACGTTTTTTCAAAATTGAATGTTTTTGTGCTCCTTTCAAAGGTATGAATCATAATGAAAAAAGGAATATTTATGTTTTTGATTGTTTTTCAGTTACTGTAGCCTATAATAGCCATTGTATGCAATCTTCAAATCTCCACTTGCCAGATATTTTAATGAACTAATTGCCCCAAAACTATAAAACAATCAAGTAACTGGATTTATTATCCACACAAAAAGAGCAATAATCAAGTTCAGAAATACATTTCAAAGGCATTGGATTTTCTGAATTGGTTTATTAAAATGAGGTAAAACTGATTTTCTAAAAATCAAATTTTTATTTTTATAAGAGCAAATGAAATTTAAACATGGCAATTAATAATAACCTCCATTTCCACAGAAATGGCACAACAATAATTTTATTCAGTACCTACATGTATGTTGATTTTTAAAGTATAAATAAATCCTAAGTCATCAATCAATATTTTCTCTAACTTTTTTGGTGGCATATACTATATAAGCTCCTTAACCTTTTATACCTCTATCGGTTGTGGCCTGTTTTGGTAATTCAAATTTGAATTTCGATTTCAAGAAATACACATCAGAAAAAGATTCTTGCTCCAGTACAGGTTTAAAGAAGAGTTTTCTAGAGCCTTCTATAAATTCAGCACAGTTAATATCATTGAGTTTTGGCAATTCTCAACCTTTTTTCCAGTTTGACAACCATTTTGGAATTCTAGGAAATCTTCTGCACATGAATTAATGACTTTGTTTTATTGTCTGATTCTATTAGATGAACTAGATCTTCGTAATCCAAAACTTCTGGAGTATGTATGCATTTTTTACCTATAAGATCATGAACTGCATCCAAGCTCAAAATACTCGAAAGTGATAATTTCTGGCCCCCACAAGCTGTAAAAAGGGTCAAGTTTTCATTTTGTGCTGAGCAGTTGTCGGTCCAAAAACTACGTGCTTTGTATAATTGTTTAGCTTTTTCAGTACATTGTAAAATGCTGATACAACGTCTGGATCATTTCATTCCCTAATGTACTCATACCAAAGTACACTTCCATTTTCCTTTGCTGCTTGTGAGTTGACAAAAGTTTCATGAAACGCAATCAGTCTGATGAATGAAAATTAATTTTTTTTGGTCTGCATAGCGACAGAATGAACTTCACATTCTACCATCGTCCATAGATTCTATGGACGATGGTACAGGTCCAGAGGAGACAGGTCAGTAATTAATTCCATTGCCGCGGTTGGTGTTATTCTCATGGCTCCTGTGATCTTCAAACAAGCCAATCGTTGTATTTGATATAATTTTCAAATGGCCGTTGCTTGTAGAACTTTCGGGGGATTAATCCCCCTTGATCCCCCCTGGCTATGGCCTTGACCTAATGGGACCATTACCTAAAACGTGCAAAGGTTTCTGTTTTATTCTTGCTGTATGTGATTCATTCAGTAAGTTTGTTCTTTTATTTCCTTTACGAACCGCAATTGCGAGTACTGTGACTCAGATCATTGAAGATAATGTCTTGCTGATGTTTGGTTCTCCGAAAACTTTGATAGTTGATAATGGAGTACAGTTTCGGTGAAAACTATTCAGAGATCTTTCCATGAAATATAATTTTGATATTTCCTATAATGCCAATTATCATCCACAGACTAATCCCACTGAACGGAATAATCGCGTTATTAAATCCATGCTTACTACCTTTGTTTCTAAAAATCATCGGCTATGGGATCAGTATCTTCCAAAAGTTGCTTATGCTATCAGGTCTTCAAAACATGAGGTGACACAGTACACTCCCAATTTTGTTAATTTTGGACGTGAAGTCATATTAGACGGTGAATCTGCAACTTACAATCCTATCGATTTTTCATATCCTCAACATTCAATCAATGATAAAATTCAGCCCTTTTCGCGTATTTATCAGGATGTACAAGCACATTTGGAAAAAAAATTTGTGGTTCCTTTTTGATATTGTGAAGTTGATGCAAAAGCAGGATTTTTTGAAAGGGGCAAATAGTCAGTATTTTCACTCAATTTTCAGAGGACTATCTTCTTCTATTTTGTGTTGGAAACACCCTTCAGTATTAGGAGGGTGTTAGATTATCCCTAAGAAAAACGTATCTACATCAGCTTGAATTTGGGAAATTGAAAACGATTGCCAGTTCATTCTCTTGAAGAAGTTTCCTGGACTTTACCTTTTATAATAATTACCACTGGATATATTAAGGGCTTCCTACTAAATCCGTATCTACCGATACTGCCGGAACAGTATTCATCCCCTGGCAGCTTACGAAGAAGGAGCACCCGAAAAGCAGCTAAGTTTAGAGTCAGTTAATTGAATGAAGAAATTCACCGGTGTTTGTTTATATCCTATATAAAAAATACAAGTAACCTCATTAAGATGAGTTGTGTAAACTGTATTATGGTAGTAGTAATCTAGTAATCAAAGTGAGAAATTGGAAAACAGAGGGTCCACTCTATTTTTTTATCATTGTAATAAACTCCCTTAGTCATTGCAAATAGAATTATTACTGTTATGAGAAGTTATATATTTTAATGGGTTTCGCCAGTTTTTGGGGAAACCCACAATTTTTACACACGGTTTTCAACTGGCTAACAAAAATTGGTGGCGCCTCCCCTTTTTGTTTAAATTTTTTTTTTCTTTAATTAGTTGCTCACACGATTTAGTGCAAACCACTGACCTAGTCGAGCATGTTAGTGGTGTTTTGATTTTCGGCAACCCTATCGCAATTTAATTATCTCGTTCAAAAACATCGCGTAGCAGATATCTTCAACTTTTCGCGGTTCATTCTTCGTTGAAACTGGGCTTTCCTTCGGTTCTTTTCTTTGGGTTCAAGTGATATTACTCGGGCTATTCTACACGACGGTTTCCCGTGAGTCTACGTTTACCTCCGGATGTCTCTACAGGCCCGTCCTGCATATCCACGTAGGTTCCACAGTCTGTTCCTGGGTACCAGTATAGGTTTCTTTCCGTCTTCATCGTATAATAAGCAGCTTTCCGATAACTAAACTACTGAATGTGATTGTAGTTCATTCTCAGTTGCGAACTGCCACCTGTTATTTTTTTCACCGTAGTATGCGGTGGTCAGGCCCTATCCCCCGAATCCCCGATACATTCGGGAGGGCGCGCCAGCATTATCAACCAACGACCATTCCCCACACGGTAGGGTAAGTTATCATTGTGTCCGAGAATTCGTCTGGCTAAAATTTCTGCCTTAGAGCAGCAGAGGATTCGAGAGTAGAGAGGGCATCATTCCACCAAGGACTCCAATAATCAGAACAACCATCTTGACAGAGTGGTATGGATAGAGTCTGCAGAGTTCGAAAAGAAAACTTTGATATTGCATCCGTCTTTCCTCCTCTTTTCGTACGATATTCGTCTCATCAGGAGCTGAAAACTCCACGACAAATATCGTCTTGCTCTGGTGGTCGAGAAGGACTACATCAGGCGTTTTAACTTGTATGACCCAGAGGGTGGGGAACGGATATTTTCAATAAATTTGGCACTTTCCATTCCCCACAACGGATTCGATATCCCCTGGAGCGTGGGGCAACCCCGGTATCTCGTAAATACCATAAGAGTGCCGTAGATGGTAATATAGCACTCTTTTTCAGATGAACATTCTCAACAAGATTCATACAAACAAAATTGTTTATTGTATATGTTGTATGTGCATTTATATGGTGATAATTTATTGAAAATGTTATATGACTCATTTTTTAGGCGAATATTCTCAATCAGTTACATACATTGGCATAGTTTTTTTTAAATTCCGTCCCAAGAAGAATGAAAGATCTTTCGATTGTGTAACTACAATCGCAAAAGTTTTACAAAACTATCGCGTATCTTTTGGATTATCGCGGTACGGAAATGGAGTATATAAATTTGGTTACAAACATTTTACGAGCCAACAAAAAAAAGAAAGTACCTAAGCGTTTCTATGAATCAAATTATCTGTTTCAAAAATCCCATCCATCCTACTCTCAAATTACATCACTTGTATATTCATATATACCTACTTTCATTTTCTAATTTGTTGAACGGTTTTCAAAACAACATTTATATTGAATTGAATCGAAAGTAATGATAACCGTTCCTCCTCACTATTATGTTCTTCCTTTTCTAGTCAGCTGAAATATTCGAGGTTCTCTTGATCACTTGTTTACCTTTCACCTTCAGATTTAGTAGTCTGTGCAGTACCGGGCGCAAATAAGAGTATATTTTACTCATGCAAGTTTCTTACGCAGTGTTTGATGTTATTTTGAAAAAATGCGTTTCCGTTTATATATACAGTGGCTTTTGTTGACAGTTTTATTCACAGTTTTCTTTAGTTTTCTGTTACTGAAAAAACCAAAGATAGAATCAAAAACAACAACACCAACTATTGAACAAAGAGTTTCATCGCCATCACCATGGAAAAAAGTAACCAAATCGTTGGCAGAATTGGGCAAAATGGATGAAGTTAATAAATATGTTTTATTTTTAAATCATGTACCAAAGTGTGGATCCGAAATTTTGATTTTATTGTTACAAAAATTGCAAGGTTTCAATAATTTTAGACACATTAGGTTAAAAGGAGGAAACGGGAAATACATGACAAATTTGGAACAGGTGAGGTACTACATGTTTATATCATTTTTGCAATATTATTTGCCTATCATAATAACTTAATTTCCATTTGAAAAATTATTGAACTAAGCTCAAATCTAATGTCGGAATCTACTTATGAGGCATGTTATCAAATGTCACAGCTCTGGATATGTGATCTATTTCCACTCATATCCAGACGTATTCAATTTATCAAATAATCTTAACTAATTTGAAGTTATCAGATTCCATTCGAGTGAATAGCTGAATAATATCTTTAAAAATACGCTATGTAGCTATTGCTAATTCAATAGCTACAAAACCACTCTATTTTTTATTTCTCAGTTTTGAGTTCGAAATTGAAAAGTCGAGCAAAACTCTTGAAGTGTTAAACACACACCCTCAGCTCTCACAAATCTCCCAACAGCAGCAGATTGGTGATTCATAATGATTTTAAACGACATTTTGATTCAATCAACACCAAGGCATTGTTTGAAAAATTGAACTCAATGATTGAAAGAGTATGATATATTTCACTTCAATTCGCCTGGATATCCCTCTGGTTGAAAGATACATGAACATTTGAAAAATATATCTGAGTGTTCTTCCAGTAAATATTATTAATTTTTTCACAGAGTTATACCGATGAGTCCCTTCATCCGTTTACTCAAAGATTATTAAGTAGATGAATTTCTGTTTTTCTGAATTTATTTAATTCATTTTCAGAAAGTGTGAGTAATAGTTAATACAGGTACTCATAATATTATTAAAATTCACTATAGGAAGTTTCTAATCTGTAGTAACTTTGATAAAAATGTTCATTATTGATTTAATTTACAAAATATCTAAAATTTTTGCATTAGTACATTACGAATATTATTTAGTCCCAATATAAGCAAAAACTCTTTATTAATTTTTCAATGGGTGATGGGTTGAGAATAGGGTTGCCATCATTTTTTTTTTCAATTGAAATACAATGATTATTGACCGTAAGAAAACAAAAGCACATAGTGTGAAAGTAAAAAAACATTCATTTCTCTGGTGTGACTACAATTTCTTGTACATAGACTGGGCATGTCTCTATAGCGAAAAAGATGTGATATAGAACAATGCGAAAAAAAATATATGAATTGTTACCAGATTTCAAAAAATTGAATTTCAAAACTGATCATAGGCTTCAACAAAGGTTGGGCAATTCTAAAGAAGAAAGACGAAAAAGTAAAAATCTGGGATTTACGGATAAGCTATGAGGATTGTGATGAAGAGTATGTTACTAGAGTTATATCACAACACCAAACCGTTGTTTTTAACACCTCGACATGTGTTTCAATCACCAAGTGATCATCTTCAAGAGGAAGATTGAACAGATTAATCTTCCCCTTGAAGATGATCACTTGGTGATTGAAACACGTGTCGAGGTATTGAAAATAACGGTTTGGTGTTGGATAAAACTCCAGTAATATTCATTATTACAGCAAAGGTTCCGAACAGGGCATCACAAGTGAAGAGTATGTTGATCAAAATAAGTAAGCCATATTCGCTGGCTACATGGGATGATGACATATATGTTTTCATAGACCATAGAAGTCAACATGCTTTAGAGAACGGGACAGAAAAGTTAGGATTGTTTGGAACAGTTGAAACCGAAACGTATTGAAAACACACACTTCAATGTGAAATTTCCACTTGAAAATTTACAAAACCACGACACGTGTTCAGCTATACAATAGCATCTTTGGGCGCGGTTTTGTAAACTTTCAAGTGGAAATCTCACGTTGAAGTGTGTTTTTTGAATAAATTATAATGGATTCTTTTCAAGTATTGGTCAGTTCAATCATATTTTATGAAAGTTTTGAAATCCAAAATTGGAGAATGAGATCCATGAACACTGACAAAGTTCCCATCAATCGGCGGTATAGGTACTCATTCACATGATGATTTAATGTAGGAAACAGGTACATTATTAAGTATCATAACTGGTTCCAACTAACATTAGGAACAATAGCAATGAGTTATACTAGGAGCTAATTTGATTTAGTCCGTTCAAATATGTATAAAAAATTTAGTTTCAGTCATCTACTGATGACGCTAACTCAATTAGCGGAATGCGTGTGTCTTTTTGACAGATATCACGCCAGAACTTTCAGTTCCAGATGATAGTATTTCACAATGGTTTACAGGATTCACACAATTAAAAAATATCTCGGAATCAACAAACTGAAGGTAATACGAAAATAAATGGAGATATGACTTTGGTGCATTTCTGGCATACAACCCATATTTTTTTTTCTCTACCTACTCACCGTCAATCCACCATCATCAATATCTGACTCATACACAGATATTGCTATTCGTCTCATCTCTTTCTTTTTTCTTCACAATTCAAGAATTTACTATTCCACCTCTATATTTCATATGATAATGACGTCTCAATTCCCTAGACTTTGCTAGAACCGGCCTTCCATTCACAACTATAGTGTTTTTGTTTTAACTTAGCGGAAATACTTTCGCAGTTGACAAGCAAAATCAAATGCAAATGAGGTTACGTAAAATCTGAATTTTTGACCACTGATTCAGTATAGATAACATACACCCACAGTTCACTGTTTCTACCTTCAGCGTAGCTGCAATGTAGCATTTAGTATTCCAGATCTGACATCCGAGATACAGACAGCCACTAGAGTTGACAAACGTCAAATATGGAAGCAACGAAATCAAAAATTTCATGCATTATCTAAAACATAAGACTGAAAGTTTTTCGGCAATCGTGAATATCACACTATAAAAAAATTCAAACCCTAACCTTTCGCGTTCATAATATATCGGTGAAAATATAGACGACTTAAATTCATGGATACGTAATTATTGCAAAAATATTATTATTCGATATACTGAGAAGGGAGTTATAATTATTGATAAAAAATGTTGAAGCTTAATGTTAACATCACATGTTAACATCATGTGTGATGACCCAAGATTGTTGTCTATTTGCAGGAGTATCTCGTTTATGATATATATGATACAATTAAATCAGAGGCAGTTCCACTGAGTTTTGATCGACATGTGTACTTCATCAACTTCACACAATTTGACAAGCAATTCCCCACTTACATAAACTTCATAAGAAATCCAGTGGAAAAAGTCATATCCAGGTAAGAAAGTATGGAAATTTTATAGAGAACAATACTACTTTAGTTGCTACCAACTATGAAAGGTTCTTTCCATAACTGCTTGACGTTTGTTCATTATTTTAAATCTAAATCCTAGTTTCTTTATCCATTTCTGAAGAGTTTTGTCACAGCAGCTCACGTAATGGCCAGTAGTATTCAATTTCTTACTTATGATTTCAGTTGTAGGAATCTCATTGCTTTTGTAGTAGTCCTATATTGTTTTCTAATGATTTTATTACATGAACATCTAAAGGTTGTGGTAATCCCGTATCACATCGCGTCTAGCGTTCATAACGTTTGTTTTTGACTATTTTACATTTCGGTCAAATCTGATGTTGTTTTCCTTGAAACTATAAACTTGAGTTGTAGATTTTTATATACATTGAAACGTACTCTCTGTGTTTCAATATTCAATGCATCCGAATCTAATCCACTGGTATCTCTTTTTCGCATTATTCACCATTGCTATTGGAATCACTACATTGGAAAAATTCTGCGTTGTTATCATACTCGTTATTACTATTAGTACTTATCCAAGGACGCCACATTTTAAACAGATAACAAAAATTCTAAGTAATTATAACTGCACCAATATCGAATTTCAACACTTAAATCGCGATCAGTTCCTGAACTGAACATTGACAACACGACGGCTCGCATTCTATTTGTCACCGTAACATGACTTCAAATTCAATTTTATGACTCTTCAGCCAATCATAAAACTCGGTTAGTGAAAATCATTCAATTCGAGCCGCCAATTCTTCAGTCCTCGTGGACTAGTTGACAGCGGCTTTATTTCTCTGTATTGGTTTTTTTGACCTCTGAGAACGCCGACACTTTAACTATGCACCAGTTACTTCGACTATACCTAAATGGTGTACATCTTTGTATAGAGTTATTTTTTGAAATTGGTTGCTTCCTTCCTTCCTTTGGAAGATTCCCATATTTTTTGTAACGAGATGGAGAAGTAGAAGGCCAAAAACTTAAAAAAAAATCTCTCCTTAAAATATATAATAATTTATTAGAATAGCCATAGCTACAAATCCCAGTTCCCTCTGCATCTTGTTATTCCTGACTCAGCAAACCCTTTGGCTGATATTTTTCTAGAATCACTATCATCATTGCGATTAAAAGAGCATTGAATGTATCCATTCGATAGTTTGTGGATTTAACCTTGGAATATGACAATTCTATTTAATTTCAACTTTTTCTCCTTAGACTTTTTATTATCGTACAATATTTTGTGAGTAAAATGATAAACTGTCCTTTCTTTTCTTGAAATAATTAGTTATTCATTGAAGACGAACACATTTTTTCATTGTAAAAAATGTATATGATATTTCAGATGATAACATTCTGATTTGTAGACTCACCTTCAATTTCAAATATTCATAACATTGAGTAAGCTGTGATATTTCAAATAATAAGTTGAAAGGTTGATTAGGTAACAGGATCAATTAAAAAAAAGTTATGGTTTCTGAAATAGTAATATTAACAGGAAAAAACTCATTTTGAGCCATGAAGAAAAATTAAATTAAATTCAAAATGTCGACAAGAAAACAATTGTTTTTTCAAGAAAAAATTGATTCTGTTACCCAACCAACCTTTCTTCAGAAAACTTATTGGATCACTAATCTAGTTAATTAATAACTGAAATTTTTCTAATCTGAATATATCGTTTGAAGAACAAAGTTTTGCTCACATTGATGTATTATCATCTATACTTGTCCACTTCAGAAAATTAAAATTTTGCTGGGTAAAAATAAGAGTACAGTTTATTTGTGATGTGCATGACTATTTTTTCAACAAACTTTTATTTCCAGAATGTTATACAAAAACAAAGAATTCAAGTACGATTATTACTACAAATGTTTGATGAGTAAACAAAATAATTGCAACTTCAGAAATGGACAAACTTATGACCTATCAATTCCTTATTTCTGTGGGCACAACCCTCGATGCATGTAAGTATGAGATGCATAATGTAAATGCTTTAATATTAAACATCATCAAAAGTGATGTGTACAATTATATTAATGTTACTCAAATAATAATTGCACTAATATGATATAGTTTTTCAAAATTTGAGCCGCGAGTTCTCATAAATGGATCAATCAATATTATGATTCTCTACTTAGTGACTTTTGAGAGTCTCTTGATCCTTATGTAGGCTTTGATTTTCGAAAATTTCCCACATCAATATTTTTTGTCAAGTATTGGTACTGATATAAATAAAGCCTCTTCATTATGGAATTTTGAGAAGTTCATAGTAGTTTTTAATTCTAGTATACAAAATAACTCTTCTTAACACAATATAAACATATCCTGCAGTTATTGAAAGCTATAACCTTACAGGCATCTGATTTGGCACTACGTATAGTTTTCCAATTCAATTCAATAAAGCAGTTTGAGGAAATTTTTCATGAAACCATTTACAATCAATAGTACAATTCTTGTTCTGTCTCACTGTTAGTTGGATTATGTTCATGAGTTTTAATTTTTTGGTGCCAATTCTCACAACATTGTCTAGGTATTTATGATATGTTCACTTATAATGTATTCACAATCTCGTTTCAATCACCATTTTTTTTCTGTGGAGTTGCTTTATTCATCCTACCAATTTTTTAAAATACAAAACAATATTCACATAATATACTCCGATTTTTTTTTGACTAATAACATTTCACTTTTCAGTCATTTTTATGATCAAAATGTCTGAAACACTACTGGAAAATTATTTTTCAGTAAAATTACTTTACCGCAAGTAGTAAAACTGAAAGCACGAATAACATTTCTAGTATCACTTCCTAATGTTTCTCAGTGTTGGGTCAAAATTTCAATAAGGTATTCAAGCCTTAAAACACAAATAGAAGATTCTACACCTGATTTGAGAAAATCTAATTTTGTGTATAACATACCTTGTGACTTGAATGATATTGGAAAAACTTTCAGAACAATATCCTGTAGAATAACTTCCATGATATACGGTTAAGATTATACAAAAGAACCCGCAAAACACATTCGAAAATTCGAAACAACCGTTACTTACTTTGAATTCCACTTATTTCATCACCTCATCAGCATCATTTTGGATAACATTACAACACAAACCACTCATTTTTTTCATAACATTTCGACTTTGTGTCACCGGAAGAGACAAATAGCAATACGTATAAGTTTGGTCCTCTTTATATTTCTTTTATAGTTATTTCCCGGAATGGTTTCGTTCGAAAGATTTTGGTACCTAAACAGCTGATGCATGTCTAGCACACAAGTCAGTTTTTTCATTGCCCATGATACCTGGATGTCCTGGCACCCAGTATTTATTCAATATAATCCTGTTCACCAGTTTCCTCAGTTCCTCACGGTTAATCAATGCCTCTAATGCAGCTTGACTGTCTGTTGAAATATTGATCCGCTCATTTTGTTGGGGGCCTTGAATTATTGCTCCTTAGGCATTGAAAGATTGCATACACTTCAGCCTGGAAGACTGACGAGTACTGACCGATCGAGTAACTAAAATGAAGATTTTCCCCGCACAGTATATTCTAGCTCTCGTCCCAAGTTACTTCTTCGACCCGTCTGTATACCAGATATTTCTACAAAGCATGTTTTCGGGATGACTGCTCATTTTCCACTATTTGCGGCTAACACATTTACCGCGTAGTTTGTGTCGAACATTCATTCCGCTGTCATGTGGTACGAGCACACGTTAAATTTTCTTCCTTCACATATTTCGAAATTTATCTACCTTCATCAATTGAATATCACAAGATGTATTGGAGGAAGATTCAAAAGTGTCTCCATTGCAGCTGTTGAATGGTTTTCATTGCTTCTGTTATTCTTAAACGCGCAAGATAGTTTGGAAAAGGAAGGTATTATAGTACTTTGGAAAGTGATGGTAGTACAGAGATCAGAAACTACTGAGAATAATGAAAATACCGGAAATCGGAGAGAAACAGCAGAATGTTGCAACGTTTATTCCTTCCTCTCAGTTGGAAATAAAGTGCAGCTTCGGCAGCTGTTCGTCTTGGTGAGCAAAAATTGAGGTCGAAGGCATTTGAGTGTACATCTGACTGAGAACAGTACAAAATTATGTAATGGGCGTCACCTGGCTAAATGCAATAATCAGAGTTCAAAGTTCGCCCTGCCAGGGTGATAAACTACATTATGAATTGAAAAAAATATTGCATTTAATTGAGCAGCCTGAAAATATAAAAGGGAGCAAACAATTACTATTCGGAGTATTAATCGGCAATAATTAACGTTCTTGTTTAGGAATACAGATACCAGTAATATTTTATTCTAAGGGATCAATACCATTTTTTAATTTTTGCACAGATCTTCACCTTGCGATCACCCAGTACTGTGTGTTAGCTCACAAATCATATAAATTTATAATTTCATGAATTTGAGGTAAATGATAAAATTAGGAAAATTAAATTTATTTTGAAGTATTATATCTGGCCTGTTACTCCTGGACAAGCGACTCTGATGAACATAAAATCTGGGTTGGGTTTAATTTCCGCGTTCCTTCTGAACAACAACAGCTCCAGGGATCCTCAGCAGGAAGAAATTGCAAATGACCGACTATCAATAGTTCCAAACCACGGAGATCCTGTACTATTGTGTAACCGTCCCTACAACCCCACTGGAGGAGGTTTAAAACTACAAAGAAAATTAACGAGAGAATTTTATTCCTTACAATTCGGAAGTAGAGATTCCACAACTTCAACTTCACTTATGAAATAAAAAAAGGAGCAGGTAGTACACAAAAAACTACCAAGAGGCGTTTTAATCATCCTATATGATTCAACTTCAAGAGGAATATCTTATGGAGGAGTGTTCAAATCGACAAATGGAACTTATCGGTTCAGAACGCCATTTATTCGTCCCGCCGCTATTTGCGCAAATGCGAATAGTACGTAGATGACCACTAGATCAGAGTTTAAGGATGAGTATCAGGGTGCCACCTCTGGGAGATAGAGTTGGCATATGGACTTTTGAAATTTGAATATGAAATCCGACTCAAAAAAGAATATTACCATCGCTGGTAATCACCAGCGATGACCAGGATAAGGAAAAGAGGAATTGATATCTGTAGACAAGACAGGCCATTTCAAATCAAAATATACTGAGATATTAACAGCTGATTTTGTTTAACTAATTCGATTTCTGTCAATCACTGATTGACACCATTATCTTTGAATCGTTATCATAAATAAAAAACAAACTTCTGACTGTATTTAAAACTGGAATATTTTTCGTGAATAAAAATCAAACTAATGATTTTGATTCATTATTTATAAAACAAAGATTTATTGGAAATCACGTTAAATAGGCAATCAACATTGCATTCAAAGATTTTATCGTTACTCTGGACTGTGTTTAAACATTTCTGAGCGCTATCCATTCTTGAAAAGTTGAACATTAATTTCGCTTTCCATACCTTTTCGGCTTCATAGAGATACCTATAACTTTTCTCATGAAATTTTTGTTGAACCTGAAGTAATCTTTAAAATGTTAAAATAGTAGCATTTTCGAATGCTACAATGTCTAGAAAGATCAAACATAGAAGAATAAGAGAAAATAGAGTTGAGGAAGGAGCTAATGCTACGGACGAATCAGATGATCGGTACATATTTCCTTCAGAGGATAGCTTCTGATAGAAATAATCCAGCTACTGTGTGTCGAAATTCATGTTTCCATCCATTTCAGGACCATTACCGTTCGCGTGGCGAAGCTAAGGAAAAAATTATCGTATATCCGAAACCGTGATTGAAAGTTGCGAATCAGGTTAATGACTGAACGAATATTACTGGGTTTTTTTCCAACACCAAACCGTCAAACTATTATTTTAATACCACGATACGTGTTTCGATCACCAAGTGATCCTTTTCAAATAGAAGATGTTTGATCTTACTCTTGAAGATGATCACTAGGTGATCGAAACACGTGTCGAGGTGGTAAAATAACGGTTTGGTGTTGAAAAAAAACCCAGTAATGTTCATTACTACACCAAAGGTTCCAAACAGTGCATCACAATGTTAATGACTATTAATGGCTAGATCTGTTTGTAAAAATTACAGAGAAATATCTTTTCGAGAAATAATATATTAAAAGCGGTTTCATTAATTCAAAGAAAACCGATAATTTCCCGAGCTCTTGAAGCGGAGGCAGAGAGAGGTAATTCAACAAATAGAGGATGCCAGAAAATGAAAATTTCAGCGTGTCGGAAGTCCAACAATTTTACAGCAATTAAACCTGGACCAGCCACAAGGAGAGAACGATATATAATTCGTAAAGCTAGTGAAGGAATATATTGGCATATTTAAAGCGTTTTGACTTGTACCAGAGAAGTGAAGCTTCGGAGGACGTTACGTTCCACATATCACCAAGAAACCTTATAGAATTTCCCATCAACGGCAACTGGAAATACAAGAACTGTTAGACAACGGAATTATTAGAGAATTCCTTGGACTCTCCCGGCTATTTCAGTGGAATAAAATGCACAAAATCAGGAACATCTTACTACGTCGAATTCTCACTACGTCGGAATCTTACAACGTCGAAATCTTACTACGTCGGAAACCATCCCTCCAACTGACGTCAACAAAATAGGAAAGTTGTCGAAACTCAAATCAATATCACATGGCTGAAATTCGACGTAATGAGAATTCAATTTGGTGAGAATTCGACGTAGTGAGAATTCGACGTAGTGAGATTTCGATGTAGTGAGAAATGAACGTAAGAAGAATAATTTGCTTAGGAGCAGGATATCTCACTACTTATAATTCTCACTACGTCGAATTTCCGTAACTGAGAACTCGACCCCTCCTTATACATCATCATGGTACAAATTGAACCGAAATATTTCTTTGTGACTAATAAAAAAATATTACTGCAGGGTATTGCGACGCGAAAGAAATATCAGAGCATTTTTGAGGCCCTGTTTCTCACCTAATGAA